TGTGGCAAATTAAATATCGAGCTTCAAAATCGTACAATGTACTATGCAACTCTGTTGAAATTTCCATTGGTTATCGAATTTGAGATGTGATAAAATTTTGATGCAGTGAGATGCAATTAAATTTGTTTAAAAATATCGTTTATTTATAATAGGGATTTTTTCAAAAACTCAAATAGCAATAAAATAAAGAGTATATGATGTATGCAAGCAGTAGCAACCGAGCCTCAATCATTTTATATTTCTGGTCAATTTCTATAAAAATAATCATGTTCTAACGAATTATCAAACCACTAACCACACTGAATTTTTGGAAGCACCATTTAACTTTAATGCATTTTTTATTTTTTTTATTGGTTACTTCACTGCTTGAAAAGAGTTTTCAAGGTTGGAAGAATTATTTTTATTATTTTTTTTAATAACACAATCCTTTTTTTTATTTGGTAAATTTAATTAGTTCAATTTTCGAATAAATCCAAAGAACGTAAATTCCTTGACAAACCGTGTTAGCGATCAGAATTATACTATTGTGAACAGCCCAAGCGCCCGAAATTTACAATAGATCCATTATTTCGGTTTATTTTGAAAGGAAAAGTGAAGTTTATTTTTAAATCATTTAATAAATAGGTAATAAATAATGTATATATATATTCCGTTTCACAATAGTAGTTAACAGCGCATATATTTTCATTCGGAAGTGCAAAATAATAAAAAAAGAAAATTGTTTCAATTGCGATCGTCGGGAAATGTTAAGAATGTGTATTTCTGAGAAAGCTCCTCATAAAAATCCATCGACTTTTCGGAGGCGGCATACAATAAACTGGAAGTCCACTAATTTATCCCTTCATTTTAATATTGTACATAATAAATGAAGTAAAAGCCTCTTACTTTTCGACAACAGCTATAAATCTGAGGTGCTTATTATGTCGATATTGATATATATATATACTAATAAGAAACAATGAAACTGTGTTGTTATTCCTAATACAAAAAATAGCAAAAATCAGTAAAGTGTTTTTCTCCAAAAATAGCAGTGCTTAATATTTTATTTAATTGTAAATATGATTTACAACGTCAGGGTACATATATTTTGTATATTCACAAATCTAAACAGAGTTCATCCTATATATCACGAAATAGAAGTAAAAGAATTATTAACAAAAATATATAATAACAATTTATCATTCATAAATATATGATATTAAATACGTACATACACATGCATGTAAATATATTCATATAAATCCTAATAGAGTAATACCATAATATGTAATTATATAAGTAACTGTAAGCTGCATGTGGCCCGGTACTGTCATAAAACTTACTATGCGGGGGAGGTAAGTGTATTTTTATATGGTTTATTTTGATATGCCACGCGCGAGCAAATATAACATACATATGTATGTATGCAGCATTTAATTCGTGATAAGGAAAATATATTTGCCTAAGCATTTTCCAACATTCTTATAATCTGTGCTGCTTAATTACACTCTAAACTTTGCTAAAATACCAGCTGGACCTCTTCGAAGCACTCAAATTATGAGTACATCCCAGATAATTTTTCAATGACCAACTGTGACCAACAAATTTATGGTATTTTTTTTTTCACGGGTGAAGTACTTTGTCGATGATATTTCAAGTGCAAATCAGCCAAGACAAAATAAATAAAAGGTCAAAAAGCTATTCACAATATTTTGCACCGAATGAAATGTTGGGAAATTTTTGTTGCGCAATAACAAGAAAAAGACTTTATTAAAGCAAGCGAACAAAAGAATATAAATGTTGCATTAAACTGTGCTGAAAATGAGAATTCACTGTCTTTTTACTATTTTGTTCAGCTAAAAAGACATTGTTGGTTTGAATCAACGAAATGTTTGACAAACAGCAAAGGGTGACTTAAGGGGTAAAGCCATAATAGACTCATTTTGAAAAATTTGTTGTATTTATATGGGAAAAGGAATTAAATTTATATTTTACAATTTGTTTGAATATATATTGAAGAAAAAAAAAAATTATTCTTCAGTTATTATTTTGTTACAAAATGGCGGTGTTTATTTTTTTTTAATCCATGTTTTTTTTTTTTTGAAAGGCGACCACGGGAGGACGGATTTCTTCTAAAAGATAATAACGACAACAGAAAAGCAAAAAGTTTTATGATCTTCGAAGTATGGTCTTTAGAAGTACGTACGGATTAAATTTAAAGCGGCACAATTTTTTTTTACATTTAATTGAAAAACTTCTACGTACTTAATATGTTTGTAATGCTACCATCAAAATTTCAGATAAATCGATGCAATAGGGTCCCAATAATCTGTCCTCCCAGTTTGAAAAATGTGATTTTGAGTAAAACGCGTTTACTTTCAATGTGATCAGCGCACACCCAGATGGGCTGCAGCAAAATAAAAAGTTCTGCTATTTAAAATATTTTTTTCACTTTAAAACCAATTGCATATCATTTCTAGGACCCAAAGCAGCCCTGTGAGCAAAAAATCCTAGAGTGGCTTTACACCATAAAAATCGCTAGGGTAAAATATTTTACTAAAAGAGTATTAGAGCGAGTTATAAAATTTAAGTCAATGACATATAAAAAAATTTTTTAACTTCGGATGACAGTTCTAATTTAGTTAGCAAAAAGAGTAAAGCAACTAGCAGGCAAATAGAGTTGATCAACTTTTAGTCTTGCATTTGTATGAACTAGAGGAGAGGAGTTACGTATAAAGAACGGAGTGTAGTTTTTAAAAAGCGAACTTCGTTGTCTTGTACGTTTCGACTATTTCCACAGCTAATAATGTAGGAAAAAATAATTATTGCGATTGTCACCCTTTACTAGTACTGGTTAGACCCTACGATAAGTCAACACGCGCCTCTAGCCATAATCGTCGCTGATGGTGTTGTGGCACTTGCAGGTCGACAGCGTCTGCTGCATGGCGCTGCCAACACAAACTACTTCTTAATTCATACTACCGGCGTGGAAGTATATTTTACTTTTTTATATACATACATACATATTAACATACAGAGATATTTTCACGACTAATGCATATGAATTGCGATTGGTGCAAATCGTAGGAGTGGCACAACAACAGCATTTTAATATGTAACAAAGCTCAAGAACTGCACTGAGTACAAAGCGGTAGGGACAGCAGGGTTGTGGGTAAGTATGTATTTAGAAAAGCAGAAAGTTCGGTAACTGAGCAGCAAGTGGGTGCCATTTGTGGAGGTTGGGAACACACACATGTACGAAAAAATCATTATATGGACAGAGCGATGAAGGAATTTTATGAAAAACAACAAAAAGTAATAAACGTTCCTTACGTAATTAGAATGCAATTTAAGGCAAAAAAAAAAGTTTTGAAACATTAACGTTTAATTTCATCAGTCAAATTTCATATATGTACATATCTGCACATTCCGGCCGGCTGTTTTTAGGCAGTTTATTACTTTCCTCCTTACATTTGTGCATTTTTCTTTAAAACGCAATTGGCACATTCTACCCACACACACATCACAAAATCAAGACACCCACTTTCATTTCTTCCATATAAACTCATTCACATTCGCTCGTTCTTCCATTTAGACGGCTTTACAAGAAATGCCCTTGAGTTTGTCCTTTTCGTCCGCCAACAGATACCAGTTATATTATAAGTACATATGTGTACATAAGAATGTATGTATGTATATTTGAGGCAGAATTTCTCAGTTTCGGCTGGTTCCTTCCTTTGCATGAGGCCCGTGCAAAACAAGCATATGACGAAAACGCCAGAATTGAGCGAGTAAATTCCATGAACTGACAGTCACAGATATATTGTATATGGTATGATAGATTGGTACATGGATAAATGCAGACGTAACGTGAGAGCTACATACATATATTCACTATTACAACCACAAAAGTAAATTCTGCAAAGAGCGCAGCAGAAGCTGCAATACCATAAAAAAAATTATATGGAAATCCGAAGAGACACCGGCAAGAGTGCTTACGCGGTGGAAAGCCCACAAAAGCTTTGTATGTCATGGAACTCAAGTAAAAAAAAAAAGTAAAGTTAGCGAGTCTAAAACAGCTGTTATAACAGTAAAGAAGGCTTGGCCGCATAATGGAATAGTAAGCTACAACAGCAAGCAGGTACCACTATGTAAGACGTGAACTCATCGGTACACATGCCTACATACAATGGCCGGTGTGTATGCGGCTTTCGTCGGCTATACTCGTATGAACAAGTTGACGCAATACGCGTATTATTTGAGCTGGAAGGAATTTAGTTGCTTCAATGAATGGTTGGTGCTGCCGCTGCTTGCAGTTTTCGGCAAAACAAAAAAAAAAAAAATTGGAAAAAAATTTTTCTGTAATAAAGTGATGGTAAAAGCGTTAGTGGAACGTGACGTTCTGTGGAACTGGATTGAGAGTATGAATATACACTTGTATGCATGTATGTATGTATATATTTATATAGTAATTAAAAGTATGACGCGTTTGTTGCCTTGGCGCGTGTTGAGTTTATGGATTTAAAATAAAAGAAGAAAATATATAAAACTCATTTGAGATATATGTATGTACGTTCCTACATACATATGTACATACATATATACGCTGATGTTGTGGGCATAAGAAATGCAATCGAAGAGGTTAAATCTTCCTGTTGAGGAACGAATGTGGTGGTTCAAAAATTGTTTAGTAACCTCATAGTCTTTTTATAGCCGCTTCATCTTGCTCAGGATTAAGCAAATTTTCTTTTTGACAAAATTAAGGCTTTGGTCGCCCTGTTATTTTTTAAATTTTAATGCATACATATGCATGTGTGTACGAGTATGTATGAATGTTTGTTTGATAGAGACGCCAAGGCTCGAGAACGGCTGGATCAATCTTGATGAAATTTTCAGAGTTTGCCCGTTGTGGATCTGGCAAGGTTTAGAAATAAATAAAAAATCTTATACTTTTTTGAGAAAAAGTTGAATAATTGAAGAAATCCAAAAATACAACACTCTTTTTTAATTTTGTTTATTTTTAATTTTTTTTTAATTCGAAAGCTATTAGAAGAAAAAATAAATTTAAAGAAAAAAACGGTAAAAGGTGGTTAGTAAAAGATTTTCAATGCGACAATAGGTCAAAAGGACAGTCGCTAGAAGTGTGTAGCGTGTATACGCGACGTGTCCACGAGTTGGTAAACCATCTTCTCTGTACATTTACGAGCTGGAACAGAAAACAAAAAATGTTGTTTATGAAGCTGAGTTACTTTGAAAAAATGTGGACAAATCGTAAATATGTATGTACAATACATAAATAACTTTCAACACAATATATAATATGTATGTATGTACAATATATGTATATATGCACATATATATGTACATACATATATTCAACTTTCTTTCTTTTCCAAAAAAACATAATTTCACACAGAACAACGCCTGCGGGTGCATCTAGGGTCTCTATTTTGGTTATTGACACTGAAGGGGAAGTAAGAGGCTCTATACGAGTATACACTCTGCAGGGTTCGTTTGGTTGGTGAAGTTTGTTTGACCTCATTTTTGTTTCGATGAGGTGCTTCCTCTTTCGGCCGATTTTCCTACCGAATGACAGTTGTTTTTGTAGGAACTATCAAGCCTCGCTTAGAAGAAGGCAAAATCAGTTTAAATCTTCGAAGCCATCTAACGGTACGTCTTGGAAGCAGGCTGTTTCGGTTCGGATTCAGATCACAGAATGAGGGATCGGTAGATGAGTGGGTTTTAGAAGGTATGCAAACAGGTGGTTAGTACTGGAAGGGAGTTTTTAGTTAGTAGTTTGAGCTCTAGAGTGATGGTTGAGTTCTAAGTTGGCCATTCACAGAGTAGAGCTAACGATGGTGTTCCCAGCAGATATTGCTTATGTTCCTTAACTGGGAGCACCGATGTTACACCGTGGAAATGGTGGATGATTCACTAACACTTCCTAGCGTACATGCCCCGTGGGGCTTAAGAGCCTTCCTTGTTTTTTTTTTTTAGATTCTGTCAAGTGGGGCGTTGCTTATCCCAGTAAGGGCGTGATTCTCAAGGTGGTGCTTTATTGAAAGGCTCCGTTCGAATACAGGTGGTATTGTAACCTTTCTTTATGCACATTTGATATTTAGATAAAGCATATTCTATAATCAGATAAAGCACATCGGGTTTATTCGCTAAAGCGAAGAAATCAGATAAGCCCAGAACTAGGTGGACATGCAAAGACGGTCTCTTTTAGAATAGGAATTCTCAATTCTAATTCAATTTGATATAGTTCTTGAGTTTTTGAAGCGTCGCTAAATATCAGACAACTGACAATGACTTGATGACATAAACGGGGTTAGGGTTAACTGTGTTGGGTATAACCTCGGGTAGTACTGACACAATTAAGGTCTGAATACAGTAGTTGACTTAATTCCTACTTACCCAGACTTTGTGGGCAGAACCGGCTGTCAAGAGAGTCGACGAAGAGCTCAAGGCCCCAAGACGACCTCTTTCAATGTCCTTTTAACCTACTCATCTAACAGTCCCCCTTTCACTCTGGTCGGAACCCGGCGAAACAGCTGGATAGTTGAACTTTTCGATTCTACTTTTGTCTTCTACTATTTTACTATAGGGGAGATCTATTTTTAAACATTAATATGCAATATCTTAGAATAATATTTTCAGAAGAATATTTTATTATCATTTGTTTAGACAAAGTTTTTAAAATGAACGTCTTAAACCTTTTTAATTAACTTTATTTTTCTCTACAAATATATTTTCCTTATTATTATCGGTACCGCTCTCACCATCACTTTTTTCTAAATTTGATAAAATTACATCTATCTCATCACATTTGTTGTTCATTTCGGAAATAGTTCTTTGAAAATCACTTAACGTTCCCAGAAATTCATTAAGATATATTGCGCTAACCCGGAGTTGCTTCTCTTTTTGTCGCAAAACATCAAATTCGTTGTTTTTATGATGGTAAGCATAGTTATTGATGCAAAAATGCGTTTGCTGTTGTAATTCTGCAACTTTGTCCATCGCCTCTTCGACATATGGGTCCATTGTTATTGATACTGAAAGAAAGTTATATTTGTGTTTTTATCTTTCAATTAAAAGTTTAATTGACTTAGCTAAAATTATTAAATAGAAAGATATCTAAAATGAACATTCAACTCAAACATTACGCGGTTGCGAACTGTCAATTTGATTTGTTGTAGATATGTTCAGTAGCTTTGTTTAATTAATAAAAGTAAACTGTTCTCAGAATAATTTGGAGTATGTTCCACTAAGTAGACTATGTAAAATATTTTTGTGAAAATGATCTAAGAAGTAAATTCACTTCGTTTTATAGAATCTACCTTTGCCCACTTCCATTAACACATTTGGTGTTTACTTTAATTTACTCTCCACCTCTTATCAATTTATTTGTTTTACAAGTTCAACACACAAATTCGAATTTTCAAGAAGTGTGGCAGCTCAGCTAGTAACTTGCATTGTTTTGACATTTGCAAAACTAATCAAAAGTTTATTGTCGTATAGATTGCAGCACGTGGTAGAAATTTTTAAACACAATTTGCGAAAAAAAACCTCTTCTCACAAATTTATTTAACACTAAAATGGTTATAATGAAAACGAAAAAGATGAAGAAGCCATTTAAAGCACGAAGATTTCAACATGTGGCTGATATTCAAGAAAATGATTCAACTAACGAAGAGGTTGAACAGGAGGAAATACCCAAAGAGGTACGCATCATAGCACAGGAAGTAAAAATTGTGCGCTCACTCGCTTGCAATGATCTTAACAAACGAAATCGTCAAATCCGTAAACTACGTAAATGGCTGCAATTACGTGCGCGAAGTTCTTTCCCATTCACAGAGGAAGATTTTCTACGAATTTGGAAAGGATTGTACTATAATATGTGGATGTCGGATAAACCACTAGTTCAAGAAGATTTGGCTGAACAATTAGGTAAACTTATTGAATGCTTCGAAGGTGACGTCTCAATCAGTGTAAAATTTTTCGGTGCTTTCATGAAAACTATGTGTAATGAGTGGTTTGGCATTGATCAATGGCGTATGGACAAATTTATGATGCTTGTACGTCGAATGCTGCGTTATATGTTCCGCGTACTGAAAAGTGATGGATGGACGAAAGATTCAATTAATCTTTTCAATGAACATATGAATTTGACAGTTTTAGCTAGCGAAAGTCCTGCTATTGGCTTGACAATGCATTATCTGGACATTTTCTTTGAAGAATTGGCAAAAGTATCAGGGGGCGAAATAGATGCAAAACAAGTGGGACACTTTGTGCGTCCATTCATAACATATTTAGCTAAGGGTCGAGATGGCAAGCTGGTCTCGCACTGTCGCTCACAAGTGTTGAAACATCTACTGTATCAGAGCTCGTTAGGTCGCGAATATACAGATAAGTTTAACGCTTGGAAAGAAATGGGTTTTCCAACGGAATCAATTAATGACTTGGAATTAGTTGAAGAAGTTGTTAACGAAAACGATGACGACGGTGCCGCGGACAAGGAAGGTGATGTTGATGAAGCTGCAGTTAAATCAGATGAGCAACATTTGGATCCGCGTGCTGGCAACGTTGATGTGTTCATGCCAGAGCTGCCTTTGGATGCAAATTATGTTATTGGGGAATTAGAGAGACTTATATATAAAGACAATGATATTAGCACTAAAGTTAGGAAAAGTTTGCGAAAGCAATTAAATCTTTTTGAAATCTATAAACGTGGTAAATTTCCGTTGGGAATAAAACGTATGCCCCGATTTAAAGCAAAGCCAGGAAAACCACTGATGAAAGATAAAATAGAACAGTTAGAAAACGTAGAAAATGAATTATTTGGTGTTGGACGTAAATTAAAGCAGCTGAATAAGAGAAAACGCCGCAAGCTGCTAAATTCACTGAACTTCAGCGAAGTTGATGAATCGAATTTTGATCAAACGATTTTGAAAGCAATACCGAAGCAGTACCTCAAAGAACGTAAAAGGAAATCAAATGCATTGATGAATGAGTGGGTAGAGGAAGAGTTAAGCAATGAAGACATTGTACCCAAAAAAACGCAAAAAAATAAAAAGAAAAATATTGAAAAAACTCTTTCTTCCGCCGAAGATGTGGAGCAAGAAAATTCCCTTGCTAATGGTGTTGATAAAATAGATGAAGATAAATGCGATAATGTTGTAACGAGTATAAACTATACAAAAGAAAAGAGTAGTCAGTCCAAATCAACAAAAAAATTAAATAAAGATTCGTCTAAGTCCAAAAAATTGGCAGAAAAAGAAGAAATTGTAAAAGAAAAGCCTAAAAAACTGAAAGACCAGCCTACAAAAGATGCTAAATCCGAATGGGATGCGCCTTTATCTGAAGGTGAAATAGAATATTTTATACCTTCGCGGAAAATACAATTGAAAAATGCCAATGCCAATCTTGTACCGAATCCGCTAGCAAAGAAACCAACGAACATCACATCAACACCTGTGAATGCAAAAAATGGAGGAAACTTGTCGAACAAGTCAACGCCAACGGGTAGCATTAAGCGTGTAAAAATAGCACTTAAGCACAACACTGCACAGAATCCTAGCGAGTACATAAAGCAAATAAAAAGTTCGCCAAATTTACCATATGATGCATCAAAGAAACCGGGGAAAGGATTGTTGAAACCGAATTCAATGCCCAGCCCAATAAATCCATTCTATAAAAAGAAAATTGGTCTGCGTTTGGCGAATGATACCATTTGAGCTGCCTACACTAGAGTAAGCCAAATTTTTTCACACCTTTGTTTCGGTGACTGAGTTGATTAGTTTTATAACAAATTGACTTACTCTAGTGTTTACTCATCGGCTACTGTGTGGATTTCTATATAATAAATAAACTGTAGAAGTTAAGTAAATCTAACTTATAATACAAAAGAATATGTACTTGTAGATTGAATAAAAAGAAATAATTTACGTTATTGAATGTGTAAAATACATAATTTTATTATTTTGCAGTAGTACAAGCACTTAACATGTAAGCATACCTAATCGAACTCGAATACGGGCTTGCCTTCGTTATCCCACGTGTTCTTACACTTACGGAATGCGCTCACAAGATAAAGTGCTGAAAAAAAAGCATCAATTAATAACAATCTCAAAATAAATTTATAGTTGATGGCCTTGAATAAGTTTTCTAAGGGTCTTTCAATATATGCCAACGTCCCCTTTACTGAGCCTACAACGACTAAATAAAAATAAAATAAAAAAACTTACTAGTAGCTTCCCACTCCGACTTCGAAAGCGTTCCTACTGGTTTTGAGAAATTTGCTTTAGACAAATTGTGCAAGTGTTGAAATTCCGGATTTCTCGCACAACGATTAGGAAAGACAGATTCCAATCCGTTCATTCGCTGAAGCAGAGGACGACCTATAAAAAACGTTTATTTATTATTATTCTATAATTAATTTTCTTTCATTCAAAGACCTTTTTCTAATGTTTCTTTGTAGTAGTCTGCAAATGTAGTTTTTCGTTCTAGTTTTAAGCCATGCTTACGACATAGTTTAACCAGTGTCGGGAAATGCACCAAAAATTCTGGACAATCAACGACACCCTCTAAATGAAACTGATATTTAGCACCAAAGAGAGGTGGTGGATCTGTGTCACATGAGAATTCGATTTTATAAAGTTCATTGCCGATGCTTCGTGCGTTTGGAGATTGGCGTAATCGACGCATAATTTCGTTAGCATCTGGTATGGTCGCAATAAAATATCCACCGGGCTGTAAGCATTCCGCTGCGTTGCGCACCATACACTCGGCCTGAGTCAGAGACTCGAAAGAGTAATGAAATGCAAATTGGCATGAAACTAAGTTTAATTTAAGGGACTTATCCTTATAGCGCTCCCTCAGTCGCACCAAAGTGGCATCACATGCAAAAAATTCAGCTGAAAACTTATTAGCAAATTTGGTTTTATCAGCACGAGATTGCATTTCGTCATAACGTTTTTTGCATTGATCCACCGACACTTCAGCTATGTCAGTACAAATGAGATGTGTAATATTTGCTTTTTCCCATTTTAATAGATCTCCTCCCTTGCCACAACATAAATCTAATACCCTCATTGGATCACCAATCCGTTGATGTGCTTTTATACGTTCCAGATACTCCGCAATAAGCTGACTTTTTATCCAATTGTTAAAATTACGCATATACACAATGCGTGATTTGAGACGTTCCTTACGTCCGGTTTCTTTTAATTCGTTGTAGTGAGAGGCCACAATGCTCATGTTTCCATCTGTTATGTGTTCAGAGCCATCACCATCTCTCTCTTCATCTACAGTACCTTCAACATCAGCGGCAATATGAATTATTTTCTCTGCTGGAGAATCCTCACTGTCATCACTATCATTGGCAGTGCTTTCAGTAGGTGTAGTAACACGATTTCTTTTTTTTGGTGGAGTATCATCACTATCATCACTTTCTGCTGAAAGTGAGACAACCTGTTGTTGCAAGCCGAAATGTTGATAGCCGGTGGAGGTAGATTGCAATCCTTGTGCGGCATTCACTTCATCTTCACTGCTCTCCTGCTCATCTTCATCTCTACTGCTGTTACTTTCCGTAGTTTCAGCCATTATTTTTGACCCACTCTTTACAGCCACTATCAGTAATAAATGTAATTGGTTGAAAACTTCACCCAAAAAAAAATAAACTAATTTTTGACATACAAATGTCATCAGATGAAGTTGGTTTCATGAGCTAATGCTAATAAGGAAGAACAAGAACTTTAAGAACAGTTTATAGGGACAGATTGCTATGTCGTATAGTGCTACCAGAGAACGAAAATACGTTCTCCGTTTATTTTTTGCGCAAATTTTAAAGGAGATTTTCCTTTGTAATATTTTTATCGCCTTATCTATCCCTAAAAACATAACCTTTGAATAAGAAGGAAGCAATATCATATTTTTAATTCATTTATGAATGTAACAAAAAAAAAAATATTTATATGGTATTCTTCTCAACTCTCTACATAAGATTTTTACACGATTTGTGAAAACAAACATCAGATGGTCATCTTTTTATTTCACCTCATACTTTTCATTAATTTAAATTAACCACGGTCAAAGACTAAAACGATTGGGTCACTTTGGTTCAAAACATAATTTTTTGTTATTTTTCTTTCTTAGTTGTTAGGTACTTTTTTAGTATTCTTGTTAGACTTCTTGAGCTTAATTGCTTCAATAACTTGCAGGCGAATAAGAAAATTTTACGAAGAAAGAAGTGAAACATCAAAACTTTATTATTAATATATGTATTGTTTATAGTAAATATCGAACCATCAATCTGAAGTGAGAAAAATAAATAATTTCTTTCGTTAAGCAGATAAGATAATTCGAAGTCTGCGCGTGAATTATGATTAGTGATTTACATTATAGAAGTGAATGTTGCTGTGGTATATTTGAATTTGAGTTCCTAAGCAAACGTAATCATGTCTAAAATTGATGGACTTAATGCCACCAAAGAAGCCGCTACTAGGGAATGGATTGAGCAACAAAAACAAGTACCTCGAACAACCGATGAAGAGAATGATGATATTTCTTCTATAGCAGAATCTTCAATAATCTCCAGTAGTGATGGATATGAAACAGAAGCGGAAGAAAATTTTGATTTAACAAATAACACGTTAACTACTACAGTATTGGGCAATCAGTATAGTAAGTACTAAAATACACATTATAACCAACTTAATTTTGCTCATTACTTCTATTTCCTATAATTACAAAGCACCTACAGACATGGCAGTGGTAATAGAGAATCTCCGCGAGTTACTAAACTCTATTAATAGTGTGCAAACTTTGGAGAATGTGCATATTGAGAACTCATCAAATGTGACCATAGGCAATGTCACAAACATTAATGGTAATATACAGATTATACAACGCATTAAAAAACGTTTCTCCACAAATACATCACAAACTTTAAACGCCACAACCACAGCAACGTCTACGGCAGCGGAAAGAAAATCAAATGATTCGCTAATAACACAAGCGAGCGAGGAACAAGAAGAGCGCGTAAAGCGGGATGCATTTATTGAACGAATAAGTGAGTGAAATTTGTAGACAGTATGCTTATTTTGATTTTGCACACTTGACTTGAAGTAACGAAATTTTCAGATATATGGGAAGCGAGATAACTTTTGTTGTAGCTTTACGAAATAACTAGCAAATATTCATTATAAGTATATACGTATACGTTTCAGAGTATAAAATACCGAAGGAGTTGTGCGCTGTTATACCACGAGGTACTTGGCTTGCGCAAATGCCAATGGAAGAGTATGATTACATACAGAAGCCAGTGAAGTTAGTAATTGTATGTACGTATTGTTGTAGAAATTAACATGGATGTAGATATATTTAAAGAAATATTACAGCACATACCGCAACAGAAAGCTCAGAGAAGCAAGCCATTAACATACGGATCATTCGAGACATACAGGTAATGTAGTATATAGGATTGACCTAAAATTTATCTAAATAACAAATATATACCCACCTAATAATCAAAATGCGACGTTTAAGATAATATTGAGGTATTTCGTTGATGTGTGCATAACAACATGGCAAGATTTGAAGACACAGATTAAAGTATTTTGAAGCACCCGATAAAGTAGTATCATGAAGAAATTCAGTGAAGAAATAAATTTGATACAGTTATTTTATAATAACGAGTAGTGAAATATTGATAAGTGGCTGAGATTTATTTTGTGATATTAATATATGTAGCATGGGTTTTGAAGCTTCATTTTCACTCATTTATATATCTACTACTTTATAAAATAATTAAATAAATATCTTCTTCAGTGCTTTCACATCGAGTCACGCGAATGGAATGACATTGCCTACAATTTTCTGGTTGGCTGTGATGGTAATGTATATGAAGGACGTGGCTGGGGTGTAGTTGGCGCACATACAATTGGATATAACTCCAAATCTATGGGTATTGCCTTTATTGGCTGTTTCATGCGACATTTGCCAAGTGATGCTGCGATGAATTCGTGTAAAAACTTCTTGAAAAAGTATGTAGAGATCAAATTAACTTTAGTCCGATGATTACATACATATATTGACTTTTCTATTTAATTACAGAGGTGTGGAAGAAGGTCACTTGGCGCCAGATTATAAACTCATCGCAGCCTGTCAATGTCGTTCTACAGAGAGTCCAGGTCGAAGGTTATATGAGGAACTGCAAACATGGCATCATTTTTACAATATTGCTGAAGAGGATGACAACGAATAGTGATCGTAAAATTAATATGGATCCTTATATTGAATTTAAAAAATATTCTCTCTACTTAACACTAGCTTTAAATTATATTTATAAACGCATTTAATGCATTTTATGTACCTATACTTTTATAACAAAGAAAATTATAAATATTTGTGTTTTACGAGACTTGTCCTTTTATTAATTAATAAATAATCGAATACAGCAAAGGAAATTCCTGTAACTCAAATGAAATTAACCATGATGTTGTTGGCTGGAGCTGGTAAAAGCGTTGCCAAAAGGAATGGCTTAGGCAGATTCTTCAACGCGGCCTGTAAATAAATAAATTGATTAGCATTCTATATAAATAAGAGTAAGAGTGGGCATAAATTAAAGGGAGCTGATAAACAAAGAATGTACATAAAGCAAAATAAACAAAGGCCGAACATGAAAGCCAATACATAAGTTCGAAAACCGCAAGTTGATAAGCATTTTAGAAAAACGGCTACCCTTTCGTTAGGGTTATATATTGCACACTTTTTTTTGTGGGGGTTAAATATGACATTTCAGTTGGGATTTTCGTTTAAATGATTTTAGTATACGATTTTATAACATGCATCGATTTTTGATCAATTCAGCTTTTTTAGACTAAGCTAGGGGATTTTTTTTGCATTGAACTGTTCCAGTTGGTATTTGTGCTGTTTAAATAAAACATATACATATACAGAAATTTTTGTGAAATACACAAAAACTGTATTATTTTTAGTAGCACTGTGAACATTTCAAAAATTAGTTGGCGAAAACACAACCAGAAGCTGGATGATTTCCACTTACTACATTCATTTCGTTGCTTTAGCTAATAGAAGTATATAGCGTGTGAAGATATTACTTCTCATCTGAAAAATTAAAATAAACAATAAAATTACACAAACAAAAAATTGGAAGCATCTGTTTCAGCTACCACTGAAGTACCGTTTCTTTTAGAGAGTTTAAAATTTATCTGCGAAGTTTTAAATTATAACTAAGTTATGTATATACTTACGTGCTGGTTTGCCATTAGCCCATGGTGTGAATTTGACATGTGTCTCATTGCGCTTGGCGGCCTGTAATGGACACGAAAGTTAATTATAATATTTGCACAGCTCTGTTAATTTTTAACTTACATCGGCTTTCAGATTGGACTTCAGCGCCTCACGCACAACACGAGCGCAGATGTTGGAGTATTGGATATAGCTGCAAATACGTATAAATTGATTAATCTTCAATTGCAATTACGTAACATGCGTTCGTAATTTAGCTTTTAGCTGATTATTATAGACACTAATATTACTTTCTGCACTTATTTCTTTTAATACTTACGTAAGTCCAGCTGCTCTCCATGCGTTGGTCATTTTGTTAAGATTTATTTATTTTTATTTTTTGTAGAAATATCGGAATAAATCCAAAAATCACTGCACTCGCTGATACTGCTAATTTCTTGGCGAAAAAATTACCGTATGACAGTTGAAGATGTCATACAGAGAACTTATAAATAAGTTCTCTGTTATAACATAGAGAAGGTTCAATTGCGGACCAGCGTGGAAACTGTCAAAAACGAAGTCGAGTCATGAAAGCGTATTTCACCACCGGCACAGAAATTAACAGAATTCGTCTATAGTGCTTAACATTTTGAGCGTAGCAACAAAAATTATGCTCACAAATGCAATTCTCAGCATTTAAATAACATTGTTATATGTTAACTTCAGGGANTGAGCATAATTTTCGTTGCTACGCTCAAAATGTTAAGCACTATAGACGAATTCTGTTAATTTCTGTGCCAGTGGTGAAATACGCTTTCATGACTCGACTTCGTTTTTGACAGTTTCCACGCTGGTCCGCAATTGAACCTTCTCTATGTTATAAGTTCTCTGTGTCATACTCTGATTATAAGTTCTCTGTGTCATATTTGACAGTTTTATCAATAATTCGTCGTAAGCGAATTCAGCCGTTATGCTGCTTCTTCGCGCTTGGGTCACAATCAGTCAACACAGAGCGTTTCATAGTCGTTTAACTTTATCCACTTGTTTAAAATTTGTTTTAATGTAAACGAACGTAAGTTTAGAACTGCACACTTATATTAAAGGCAGATAATAGAAATTCTTTCAACATATAAAATTTTTTTTTATGCTTAATGAGGCAGACAACTTATTACAAAATCTCTGATGTGGTCTCTACACAAAGATGATGATGGGGAAACGTTGTGGTTTCCAAAAAAGCATCTATAACTTCTACCGTCCAAAGCTGTTGTTGAAATTTTTTTACTATTTCCAAAAAATATATGGTCAGTTCCACAAAAAAGTCAACGAGAAAATTTTCTACTGTGAATCGTAGCATGATTTTAGGCTCGGGCACAATTTCGATTGAAGAAGGCGCATAGCATGGCGTATGCGTGATCTTCACGTTTAATTTGCTGCGCTAAAATTAAGAGACAACGAAAATAAAGATAAGCAATAAGAACTTACCGAGGATGAATTATGCTATATAAATATTTTTTAATTTATTTATGAGCTTAAGTACGCTTTTGACTACTTGAAAGAAAATAATAAAATCAGCCATGAGATGCTAGTCACACGCGCCACAAAGCATTTAATGCGGTTCTACGTGTTTTACCACTTTTGTATATCTGTTATCTTAATTCTCTCATTTTTTTTATGGCTATGACGACAACAACATTATTTTTTTTAAACTGTGGTAGTAATAAAAAGAAATTATTATAGATTTAAGTGTGACCACGAAAGAATTTGAAGAAAAAATGGCTTTGGCAATGGACGTGCACTGATTCTTTTGCTTATATGGCTATGGTTAATGATTAATGAGTTAAAAGGAGAAAAACAATGAAAGTATTTTATCAAGTCAAGGAGTGTCTTCTTTTCGGTGACCTAACCGCGAATTGCGTAAATTTGCCGATGCCGAAAAACCTCTAATCAGGAATCTCGATAAGCGACACATAAGCGGAATAGTGGGAGGAGTACTAAAGATCCTCCTCTGGGGCAACCAAGTTCTGAGTCACATTCAAATCACGCGATGATCTGGTAGAAATTTTATTCGGCGACCGCGTCGACCTTAAGAAGTGCACGAGCCGACTTTTTACGTTCCACCCTTCGGTTGACAGAATGAAGCGACAAGGCCCAACTTCTGCGCAAAATGCAGAGAACCATAGCGACACTTGATTTCTTCTGGGAACTGTAACTGTCACAAAGCTCCAGAGCCACGACAAACTTGGGGACAATATAAAGAAACGTTGCCAGCAACCTACAAGGCAATCGATCTGGGCGTCGGGGCCTTAGCTAAAGCAGATATTTCTTTGATCCCATATGTCAATGATTGCTCGATATTGGCATCTGGCCAAGGGTTTGATGACTTTTGTTCGAAAGTGTAGTGCTATACCCACGAAATTTCCCACTTCTTCAGTACAAGACAATCACAACTATAATCAACAAAACCTTTGGCTGCCTTCCTTGCCAGCTAGATGAAGGAGTACCGACTCGAACTCAATGTGAAAGTCAATGGCTTCAATAAACAACTTACAGTTACTGGGAGTCACATTCCACAGCCTGCACTAAGCGGGTTGAATACAACTGGAACTGCTACAGAGCTCCAGGGTCACGACAAACTTGGGGACAATATAAAGAAACGTTGCCAGCAACCTACAAGGCAATCGATCTGGGCGTCGGGGCCTTAGCTAAAGCAGATACAAGCCTGCCTACTTCACGCACTCAAAACCGCGACAAGAAACCTTCTGATATCGCTAGAGTATCTTCTGCATAGCGAAGCCGAATGGAGAACGACGTCGTACAGACAAACATTAAACGCCATTTACCAAACCACCTCTTTGCATGCACCCTAAAACCAACTCATCTAACGCCCAACTCATCCGAACGCATCAAAAACAGTGCGTTTCCTGGACATCTCGTTAAATGACCTCGATGACTTAAACTGTAGTCTAGTCTGTTCCTAAGAGAAGTTAGCTAAACGCTACTACAACAACAGAAACAAGGACGGGAACCATGACCGACCTTTTGAGTTTGGTCTTTACTTGTAGAGACCTTACTTTCCAAATGCCATTTCAGCCCAAAGTAGCAAATGATTTCAAGGAAAGATAACTTAAAAATTATGATTGTCAACAGATGAATGGTTCCCGACGGGTGTTGAAATTGCAGCTTTTCTATGTCGAGCCTGCCTCGTGCCTACTGATGGGCGTTCATTTGTTCACAGAGCCGGACGCGTATCTTCCCTGCAGAAGAGTTAATGTTAGGTACTCGGAACATGCACAAATCTAGAACACTGGAGACATTCCTTCCGTCAATCACAACATGATTTATTTAGTTGCGTAATGAATTCTCTTGAGTGTTATTTCAAGCCAGTACTCAGCAAAGGAGTCTCTCCAACAACAAACCCAACAACAAATTCGCGCTTCTTTGTATGGCTACTGTAATAGTTGATCTGCGGCGGACACGGTAGCCGAGGGGTTAGCATTACGTACTGACATTCGGAAGGTTCGGGTTCAAATCCCCGTGAGACCAACTTCACTACTTAGATGGCGATGAAGTCAGCCTTACAGCACATCAACTAACTGAGCAGCGGCAATTTCCCATTTAAGGCACTGGACATTCTGGGTGTATGCTGTCAACTCGATATCCGTTTGTCGGGGTCATATTCAAAAGGGGAATCTGGCATCTGTGGCATTTTATTGTTTTTCATTTTTCATGTGGTGTTTTCCAAACCTATCGCACAACAGCAAAGCATTCACCTCCTCAGGAATGTTTGTTGGCTACGCAAAGGATACTTGGACTAAGACCGAAAGTCGTAACCTGTTTGAACCATAGGTAACTCAGGAATTCTCCTTCAATGTAGTCTCTTGACCACAGATCTTTCAGTAAATTATAATTTTAAACGTAGAAATACAACCAAGATCGCCGCTGACAGTTCAAAGATTTGAACTTAGGCATAAAATACAAGGAAACGAATGAATGTCAGATCTTAAATCCCAATCTATTTCAGGAATCAACGCAAATAAAATGTGTAACGGAAATACCTGTTTTTTCATCGTATTGCAAATAAATCAAATAAGAGTAAATAAGAGCTCAGCAAAATTGCCTTAACCTTGACTGATGTTTACTCTATCCATGTATGTATGTATGTGTGTATTTTATTCTACAACGTTTAAAGAATCTTATTTATTGCATTGTTTTGCATTATTACGAAATTATTTTCTTTATATGTGTAAATATATATATATATATGACGCTTCTGCACTTGATCTGTTAAGCTTCTTTAGTTTACATTTATTCTTAAATGATTTTCGTCTTTTTATATTATATTTAACCATACATATGTACGGTATGTATGTGCAAGTTTACACTGATCTGTATGTACATAAGTATTTATTAAATTTAATGTAATATAAATATATATGTCCATATGTTTATATGTATTTGCTTTTGTTTCGTAGAATAATTACAAAATGCAATAAATTTGAATTACGTTTTATTCGTATGTAATTTCTTATCTCGCGCTACTGTTTCGAGCAAATTACGGAGTACATACTCGTACAACAACTCGCCTCAACTGCTGAATTTCGCATGATTTGCAATTTTTAGGATTAAACCAAGATAAGTGATAAGAATATTAAGATACAATTATATATCAAAAAGATTTACGTATCTGTATGTAAATAGATATAAACATTTAAAAAAAAAAACAACAACAACATTATTTGGCTTAGTAAAAAGTCATCCATTATTTTTGCATTAAAACGAAGGCTTTAAGCTTTTGCGATTTTGAAGGTTAAGCTATTATGCCTCTCTCATAGAAACCCTTGTCCTATTGGCAAAAAATTGTAACAATTGATTTTTACAGGCTTCCCTTAAAGCCAAACCAACGAAATGATTTGCCATGAATAGGAATGTGGGTGCATAAGAACCTTCCAACCAAAGCTCTCGAAGGTTGTGCTGAATGTCTATGTTGTTGCTGGTTTTTGTTGCTGTAACTGTTAAATACTCGATGATTTGGTTTTCGGGAAACACCGAAATTATGATTTTGGTCGTGGGGAGTAGTTCTTAGTTGATGTTTCGTTGCCAATACTACTAAATACGAAACACTGTCGGTCAATCCTTGCAGCGATTCGCAAATAGTAATTCGGTCCATGTGGTTTTTTCACATTAACTTATGTGGTACCCATTTATCGCGGTTCCTTGTGTATCTAGCCATTTTCAAGTGGTTTCAAATTGTTCTTTCTGTAATGTTTAGCTCTTCATTAATCAAAATAGTACTCGTATAATGGTTAGACTCGACGATTCCCTTTATTTTATCGACATTTTTGGCAATTTGCCTTCCACACCGTGGAGCACCTTTTTCACTAAAATTTCCGCAACGAAATCGACGAAACCGAAATTATGCATAATTGAGTGTTGTAGTATCAGGACCATAAACACTCTGCATATTTTCAGCTACCTGACGCGCACAAGCTCTCTTGAGTAAAGTATTCGACACCAT